TCCCGTGGGAAATGGGGCCCTCCCCCAGCTACAAACCAGCTATAAGGGGCTTAGAGGTCAGATCCTCATGGAGTCCTTTGGAGAAGCGAGTAAAAGTCCGTGGCCCTGCTGAGCACGTTCAAATGCGCTCAGGTTTGAGAAATGGCTACCAACCACTTCTAAGGACAGAGATTGGAGCAAGGCTTATGCCAAGCGAGGGCTACAGCCCAGCATTTCAGCATTCCAGGGCCCAGCATCCTTTCTGCTTCTTAGGCAGGAAGCAGGGTCCCTTTGAGCTTTTTAACCCATTGTGAGCCCTTAGGGATAGCCTGCGTGGCTCAGTGTTGGGTGTTCAGAATCTGGGTATCTGGGTTCTGCCCAACTTGGGCTTCTCCCCTGGGGCTCAGTTTCTGTAACAGCAAACTGGGTTGGTGACAAACGCATTTCTCTTTCCTCCATCACTGACTAGTTGTATGACCTTGCGCAAGTTACTTACCTTCTCAGGGTCTCTATTTCCACATCTTGGAAATGGGCATCCTAAGAGATCATCTGTAGCTCATAGAGGTCATTGTTAAGAGGATCAAATGAGTGGTGTTTAAATGTCCAGCTTTAAAGAGACGTCATAGAAGGTGAGGAGAGAGGTCTTAACTCTATTCTGAGGACTCTCTGAAGAAGGAAGATCCTAAATAACCCAAGCATACAAGACCCATTGTCCCCTGGACTTCTTATTCATCTGTGCACGAGTGCTTATGCAAGAAACATCATACACCTTTCTCTTTAATTCAGCTTAATTCAGACACTCAGTTCCAAGCAGAGGAAATTCTCCACTTATGCTGAGGACTTACTTGGTGCAGATTGTATTTTCCAAAGATGGTTGTGACAGTATCTTCTCTTCTGTAATCTTTTCGAGAACTTTGCCACCCCCTCATCAAGAGAGGGAGACTATGTCTCCTCCCCTTGAGCCAGGTGGGCCTCTGTGATTGCCTGCACTAATAGAATACAAAGGAAGTGATGCTACATGGCTTCAGATGCTGGGTCATAAAATGCCATGTGTTTCTATCTTGTTCTCTATTTGCTCTTGAAACCCAGCTGTCTTGCAGTGAGAAAGCCCCAGCAGCCTGCAGAGAGGCCTCAGGTAGAGGAACTGAGGTCTTCTTGCTCCACAGCTCTAGCTGAGTTCCCAGCTAGCATCTAGCACCAACTTGCTAGCCATGTGAGTGCGCCATCTTGTGAAGGATCCTCCACCTCCAATTGAACCAGCTGATATTGCATAGAACAGAGATAAGCCTTCCCCAATGAACCCACCCCAAATTGCAGATTTATGAGCTACATAAATGATTGGGTGGTTTGTTACATAGCAATAGGAAACAGATGCACCACTCTCCTTCCTTTCCTCCTCCCAGAGTTATGTCAAAGTCTTAGGGCCTTACCTAGGCCTGGGTACCTAGGTACCAACAAGACTCTGTCACCTATGTTCTTGACCACAGGGACCTTCAGGTCTCCTGCTCTGCAGCTCCTGTGCCCCCTTTGGGGTGGGAGAATCATCTGAGAGGCTGGGAACCCCATAGCCATACCACACCCCCCCCCTTTTTTAAAGAGAGAGAGCACAAGCAGGGGAGAGAGGGAGGGCAGAGGGAGAGGGAGAGAGAGAATCTCAAACCAGCTCCATGCTCAGCATGGAGACTGACGTGGGGCTCAATGTCATGACCTGAAGATCATGACCTGAGCCAAAACCAAGAATTGGACACTTAACTGACTGAGCCACCCAGGTGCCCCAAGCCTTTTAAGGTCTTGCCATACTACCATCTTCCCTACTTCCAAGCTGTCCATTTGATATCTTCTCTCAGGTCTTTCTAGAGTAGTTCTTCTTGCTCCTTTTCCCACCTCCCAAACTCCTGGCTTCACTTCTGGAATGGCCCGAGGAGTTTCCCAAAAGAAGGAAGTGGTCTCTCGCTAGAGGCCGCCCGGCAAAATGCCCAGGGTAAATCATGATAAAGCCTGACCCTGGCTGAAAGAAGGAAACACTGCGGGGAGCCAAGCCAATTTGACATTTTAGTAAATACTTCAGACACACCTCTCCTCAATGACTTAAGCTTCCAATAGGTAGCAGGCAGTGTGCTAGGTGTTGGGGAGACAGAGACAAATAGCGGGGCCACTCATAGACCCAGGCAAGAGGGCCACCTGTGTCAACTCAGAACCTACACCCTACTGCCTTCTGCAGTCATGCTTCAGATATCCCAAATCCTAGAAATCTCTGCCTAAATGGTCCACATAAGCAAATTCCTCAGGTCCATCCTTCCGAGAGTACAGGTGCACTCATAGAGGGGTGAGTGAGCGGCAGCTGTAGGTAAGAAGTGTGGACAGAGTTTGGGCACAAGGGCTGGGGTGTTTATGTGCCTGAGTCCTAGGTCACTTGTACGCACAGGACAGACATGGGGCTGGGAAGAGAATCTTAGTGGATTGGCTGAGGGGTCAGGGTTAACCCACTCCACACTTCCACGTTCCTACAGAGAATTCTAAAGAGTCCAAAAATTCTCAATCTGAACATGGCCCTCTTGGTCACGATAAAGAATATTTCTCAAGGTAGGAGAATGAACATTTTATTTTACGGTCTGCTGAATGTTTAGATGTAAGCTATGTGGGCCTCGATTTTCATATTAACGTGTTAGGGTAGTTCTGTGGAATAGGACCAATAGACTATGAGCTCCTCTAGAAAGACCCTCTTCGATGGGGCTGTAGAGGGTGGTAGGGGAGTATGGCAGAGATTCTACAATCTGCCTGCAGAGGGCCCCTCCGTGTTGCCACAGCTGCCAATTATCTCTAATCTGGAGTGACAGACCAGAAGGGGTAGCAGATGGGACTCATGTGATTGAAAGTCTGCCTGGAGGGGAGGGAGGGACTGATGTGATCCAGCTGTTTTGCCAACTGCCAATCACCATCACACACCCCCAGCTTGAGGGGAGGGGCATGGAATAGGGTAGAAGAGGAGGGTATTTTATGTCCATTTTGCATGGGTTGGCTAAGAGGCCAGTCCAAGATGGAATAGCACAGTGGTTCTGAAAGTGGCCACTGGACCAGCAGCGTCAACACCATCTGGGAGCTTGTTAAGCTGCTGGCCACTCGCAGGAAAGACAGCGTCCCTCTGTGGGAAGGACAACAGAGTGGACCCTGCTGGGCTTAAAGATCCCCCAGCCCCAGTCTCCCGACTTGGCGTGGAGATTCTATAAAGGAGACTTTTTACTGGAAAGAGAACATTTATTGAGCATGCACAGTGTGCAAGAGTGGGCCGACATTTCATGAACACTACCACACTTAATCCTCAACAGCTACCCTCAAGATTGGTATTATTATTATTCCCCTTGCACAGGTTTCTCCCAGAGAAGTTCAGTACCTTGCCTTGCCTTGGGTCACAAGGCTCCCGGGATGCTACCTGGTCTTTGTGATTCTCAGACCACCCTACCTTCTTCACCATTATGCCCAACAGTGGTTCTCAATCTTGCTTGTGATTCAGAATCACCCAGAGACCTTGTTAAAACAAAATTGCTAGGCTCCTACCCCAGAGTTTCTCATTCAGTCGGTCTGGGATGGGGCTCCAAAACACACATTCCTAACAAGTTCCCAGACGCTGCTGAAGCTGCTGCAGGTCCAAGGACCATGCTTTGGGAACCACCGTGCTGGGCTAGGATCCAGCTCCCCACCCTACTCCACCCAGGCACAATGGGCATAATCATACCCTCCCCACAATGGCCTCCTTATGAGATACCAATGAGATAATAGGAGTTAAAGAGCTTTGTCAGCTGCAAGGTGAATGGTCCTGGTCATAACGAGGAAAACTGCCTGGGGCTGGTCCCTGGGGTCTGGGAGTGCAGAGGGCTGGGATGCAGGTCTGGGCACCACAGCCTTCTGCAGATCTTTGCAGGCCATCTTAATTCTGAGTCACTTCTTAAGGGAGGAAACCAGCTTCTGGGGCTCAGGCCAGCAGCCCCTCCTGCTACCTGCCTCATCAGCCCACGCCTCCTCCCTCACCCCAGGCAGCCTGCTGAGCACAGCCCCAACAGCTGGCTCTCCTGGGCCACTTTTCAGGAGCCAGTCCAGGCAAGCTGGGGCAGCATCAAGCTTGTGATTCAGGGCTTGGGGCCGGATCCTGTTCCCTTCCAGCGTGAGACTGAGGCCACGACTTCCCTTTTCTGAGCCTCAGGCCGTTCACCGGTAAAATGGGCGCAACGAGAGGACCATCGCATAGAGTTGTGCGAATTTAAGGGCCAGTCCTTTTAACATGGCTTGGCAGAGAGCCCGGCCGCTGGCGAGGGTCCAGTCAGTGGTTGTTAGTATTTTCAAAAAGTGCCTGGGCCCAGGCCGCCTGCTGATAAAGGCCCCGACTTGGAACGCAAACCGCTCCCACGCCGTCCCCCGGTCGCACCCGGATACACCCGCCCTGGAATGCCAGCTTGGGGGCCGAGGCCGGCCCGCCCCGGTTTGGGGTTGGCAGGGCAGAACAGGATTAGGGAGGCACTGAGGCGGGTAAGGGCGAGCCTGGGGCGGGGGTTCGCCCGAGGGGGCTACCGTAGGCCGGGAGGAGAACTTGACCCCGGCGGTGGTGGCGGGAGGGTCCGGGGGGAGGCTGGGACGGACGAGGAAGGCCCAGAAGGGGCGGGACCGTTAGGCAGAGCAGTGAGTGGGGCTTCCCCCTCCCCCCCCAGCAGGGCTCGAGCGCGGGCCTGGCCAGGCTGGGAGCCAGACTTCAGCCATGCAGGGTCGGGTGGCAGGAGGGGCGCAGAGTACAGCTCTGAGGAGGCGGGGCGAGGAGGCGGGCCCGGGGGCGGAGCTGGCGGGGTGAATTAGGCAGGCCACAGCGGGCGGGGCGGGGCAAGGGGCACCCTCCTCTTCCCAGGACGGGGGCGGGGCTGGCGGGCATCTCCTAGGGAGGCCTGGTGGGCGGAGCCGGATCGGGCCCGGAGCCAGCAACATTCCCGCAGGGCAGGGGGCGTGCCCAGGGCGTGTTCTCCAGGGGGCGGGGCCTGGCCCAGCCGCTGCGTTCCCCGACGGCCGCTGGGAGGACTGCCGAGTGACTGAGCCCAGGGCTGTGCAGTCGGACGCTGACGGCCGCGAGCGGGCGACGCCGGGCTTGCAGCGCCGAGCAGAAAGCAAAGCCAGCAGGTGAGAGGGGCAGGGGGGAGGCCGGCCGGACAAAGAGTAGCAAAATTAGTTTTCGTCCCCACTTCCAGAGCCCGCTTGGGCAGCTTTCTCAGAGCAAGTGACAGAAGCAGCTGGTGGGTGAAAAGGAGCCCCAGTCCCCGAGTCCTGACCCCCAGTTCTCTGGCTGCGTCATCTACCAGCTGTGTGGCCCCGGGCCCGACCCCCCTCCCCCTGCTCTGGACTTCTCGGGTTCCATAAACGGAGGAGGTTGGACCAGGTGAACTCCGTGCTCCCGTTGCCCTTTCTCACAAAAAGCCCGGCAGGTGAGGGCCGGCAGGTGAGAGCGGACAGCAGTTCAGCCACAGGTTAACAGCGGGCTGCCCAGCTCTCCCTATGCGGTGGCACTGAGCCAAGGGAACTCTCCCGGAGCGTTAAGCGAAGTACTTTAAAGTTCACCCTAGTTCCTTGGATGGGGCTTAAGCCCACAAGCCCTGGGGAAGCAGCCTAAAACAGGGAAATGTCAGTCTCCCCTTGCCCCCAACACTGAGATCCCAGTAAGTTTTCAGACCACAACCTCAGCGGGAGCTTTTGTCCCCTTCCTGGGGCATTTCCAGGTGAGCTGGCCTGGGAGGCCCTGGTTGGAAACCAGGGGACAAGTTCTTATGGGCGAAGAGAAGGGAAAACCCCGACAAACTTTGGGCTCAGAGGCAAGCCCAGGGCTCTTGCTGCATGCTCAGGGTTAGTTCACTGGGCTGGTGGTTTCTCTTCCTGGTGCTGGTGGGTGCTCTGTGCCAGAGTCATAGTCGCTGGGCAGCCTAGTTCATTGGGCAAGATCTTAGGCTCTGGGACCACACCGATTAGCATTCCACTCCCCTCCAAGCTTCAGTTTCCTCATCTGTAAAATGGGAGTCCTGGCAGAACCCAAGGGCAGTAGTGAGGACTAAACAGAATAATTCATATACAGTGGTTAGCAAGGCGCCAGGCACCCAGTGAGCCCTCACTATGTAACAGCTGCCCTGACACCAATGGCTTCCTGCCTGGGAATGAGCCTGTTTTCGGAGGGCTGGAAGCTGGCTGCAGCCCCTCCTGACCTTGTGAGGGCCAGAAATTGGCACCTGCATCACTTTGTCCATTTCAGGTTTGGGGAGTGTGTCATCTGGATCAAAGAGTGGCTGCATTTTCTGTAATAGTGCTGGAAGTTGGTGGTTGTCCAGTTACATAAACCCGAAAATGTTTACTGAGCACCTACTATATATTAGATGGAGCTTAGGGATACAGAGGCGACCTAGCCAGACCTGGGCTCTGCCCTCATTTTGGGTTGCTGACAGTGAGGGCCCCCCACCCCCACCATGCCCCTGCTGGGGCAGATAACGGCACACTCAGGACTTGGGGCCAGATGAGATTTCATGAGTCTGTACTGCTCTGGTGTCTGGAACCCAGGTATTCCACTGAACACTTGGCTTGGGGTGAAGGTGAGAGTCAGCGTGGGCACTTGTTAACCTGTTCAATCAAGGCTGGGGCCCAAAGGAGACTGGGGGTGCTGCATGTCGGTTCCCTGAATGTCCGGGGGAGATGAGCCCTACACTTTGGAACCAGCTAGAAAGTAGTGTGGGACGAGTCTGACTGAAGGCTGCACTATAGGGAGGAAATGGTGTGTGTTCCTCTGGGAGGGGAGGGTGCTTAGAAGCAGTGAGACACTGGAGAAACCAGGGCAGAGGGTGAGGGGCTTCCTGGAGTTGGTGACACTTGAGCAAGACTTTCTGCCTGGTTGGGCTTGGATCAACTTGGGGCCCCAGACTCCCCTGTTCAAGCATGTGAACAGCATAACATTAGAGTGTGGTGTTGTGGGGAGAAGAGGGTCAGTAGGTGGGACCCATGGGGGGTGGGGGGGAGGAGAAGATGTTCATTTCAAACAGTACTTAGTAAGCAAATACTGGAAGTCTCCCCCAGCACCCCTCCAGCCCACATGATGCATGATGAAGGATGACACACTGCCTCCATCCTCAGTTGCTTACCGTCTGGGAAGGGACACCAGTGACTCTGGTAGGAGATAAATGAAAAAAGTATTACAGGGAATTTTCACGGAGGAGGTGGAATTTGGGGTGGGTCTTAAGCATTGGGAGGTTTTCCTCAGCTACAATGAAAGTTTTGGGCAGAGGAAAATACCTAGGCAAAAGCAGGAGGTCAGAGTGTTCAGGGACTTTTTAAGAACCTGCTAGGTTGATCAGTCTGGCCAAAGAATTGGGATCCTGCAGGGATGTGGAGGGGCGAATGGTGGGTTGGATCAACTCATGGAGGGCCTTCAATGCCGAGGTGAGATGTTTGGATTTGATTTGTAGAAAGTGAGAGCCACTGAAGGTTTCTGAGCCGGGGAGTGACATACGTATTCACAGGGGCACTTGAGGAAAGCAGTCTCCAGATGTGCTGGGGTGAGGGACCCAGTGGTCAAGGGAGAAGGATTCCATGGCTGTGGTGATGGGGAAGGAGGGAGCCTTTGGGGATGTCTGCTGCTGGGAGTGAAGAAAGAGGCACCATGGGGGTGGGGAGGGAGAAGAGAAAGGATCCCCATGTATGCCCTGGTTTTCTTCCTATTCCCCCACCCAGCCTCCACCCTCATGCCTAGCAGGGGCTCAGAGGTGCTGGGGAGGGTGATGCATGCTATGGAGTGATAGGGAGGGAGCCGCCCAGGAGGCCCTGTGCTTGCCCATGAAGGGGGGGCATCAGGCCAAGTGGTGGGAGCTTGCACCAGTCAGTGGTGGGTTTGAGAGGGAGGGAGTGAGCCTGTGGCACTCCCCCTCCTGGCTACAGCCCAGGGAGGGCTGGGGTGAGAGGTTAGCCAGTGGGGACACAAATTTCCCACGTGTGGGGTGGGGGTAGATTTTGGTTGGCTCTTCTGAAGTTTCTGCAATGTGGGGCAGTCCCCTCTCGAAGCTTCAGACTTTTGAGCCACTGCCTGAAAGCTCCTTCCTCCCCACCCTGGGGACCCAGCGCCGTTGCGCCTGAAGACCCAACAGCCCCATCCTGGCCCCGAGGCTGAGCAGACCCAGTCCCTGAGCATTCCTCTGGGTTTGGAGCATCTGGGGCCAGCTGGCATCCCCTGGTTTTGGCTTGGCCCTGACCCTTTACTCCAAACCGTTATAACCACTTCTACCCCATGGGAAGCTCAGAGGGGGCGGTTATGATTTAATCAAGAGCATCAAACAGTCAGGAGTTGGCTCAGTGAGAGGTGGGAGGGAGGCAAGAGCCTGGGCCCCTCTGTGGGACAGGATGGGGCCCGGGCTGGGGGGCCTGTTTCATCTCAGCAGGAACTGCCCTGCCCACCGGCTTTCCCCCCTCTAAGCCTGGATCGAAGGAGGCAGGAGGGAAGCTCAGAGATAAACACAGTGAGCATGTGTTGCTTTCCTCCTCCCCTTGCCCCCCCTGATGCTGCCCGTGAGGCCAAGCACAGGCACAGGGCCTCTGTCACGGGCCCAGTTGGTGTCTGGGGGCTGGCTGGCTCCTGACTCACCCCTGGGGTTCCCCCTACTCGTTGGTTTTCCTGTCAGCAGCTGATTCACTCAGTGCTGACATGGAGAAGCAGCTGAGGGGGAGAGAAGAGGCCCTGTGTTCTGGTTCTTGGAGTTAGTTCCAACTCCTTTGTTTACAGGCTGTGTGACCTCAGATAAGTTCCTTCTCCTCTCTGGGCTGCCCTTCTCTGTCAGTGCTAATGGCTTCTTCATTCCTTGGCTTTTAGGAAGTTCTGTGGCCTGGGATCTGTTGTTTGTAAAGTAGGGCACATGTGAGCACATGCGCACGCACATTCACGCGCACACACACACGTATCGGGTGAACTGGGCGACTCCTCTCACACAGGCAATAATGGGCCCACCTCCTTACCCTTGCTTACCCCACTTGAAGCCACCTTACCTACCTTCTGCCTGTCTGCAGATCAGGGAGATGGTAGAGCATGGTGGCAGAAAGCTGGACTCTGGAGCTAGAATCTTGGCTCTGCCCCTTCCTAGCTTTGTGACCCTTTCCGAGCCTCAGTTTCTGAATCTATAAATTGGGTAATGGGAACAATCTCATAGGGTGACGTGAGGCTAGAACAAAAAAGTGCATTCCCCAGGGCATGTGCCTCCCCAGTGCGACCCCAAGCTTTCTGAGGGTTAAGGAAGTCTGAACGTGGATGGCAGCTTTTCTCCAAACCCTTCCTTTTCCTCCCCCTTCCTCTCTGCTTGTCTACACTGAGTACTTTCCTCTTCTCGCACTGTTTTGTGGCATATGGAGTGTCTCCGTGAACCCTCCCAGGCAGGGACTGCCCTGTCCATCTCTGTATCCTTGACTCCTGGCACAAGGCCTGGCACACAGCATACTCTCAGGAAATGATGGTTGAATGAATAAGTAAGTGATTCTCCTCGGGGTGGCCCAGCAGGACCTAGCTCGGTGCCAGATCCTTGGCGACTCCTTGGCAAAGGTGGAGCTGGGAAGCAGGGTCTGGATGCCCGGGCCTTGCCCTTCAGGCCTGCCCATCCTGCTCCTGGAACCTGGGTCCAGGGAGGCGAGAATGGTTTGGCTGGCTTGGGACTGCTTCAGTCAGGGCTTCAGCTTCCCTTGTGAGGCCTGGCCTTTCCCCTCCCGAGAGGGGAACAGCCTGACTTCCTCTAGCTCCAGCCTGGTGAAGGGGCCACTTTGGCCCTTAGTGAACCCTGACTCAGTTCACAGTTATTTGTGGAAGGTGCTACTGTCCTGTGAGGGCTCAGGCTCAAGGCTGGGGGGAATGGGAAGGTGCCCTCTGGGAGGCCCATCCCTGACAGTCTCTTTGCAGGCCACCAGGTATGTCACTCTGGGAGGCCCCTCACTGTCCCCTCTGGCTTCTTTCCCCACAGTAGGGGCTTCTGACTCTTCTTTGGGCCCCATGCCTGACTTTGTTGTGCTGAGGGGGGATCCGGGATAGAAGTTGTTGTTTCTGGACTTAGGCTTCTAGAGCCAATGTAGGAAAGTGGACAAAGCGCTGGAGTCTGGGTGTTGGGAAGTCTGGGTTC